TCTAGTGTCTTGCGCATTTAAACAGTTTAAGGCTCTATGCCCCCCCCACCTCCTGATCTCCGCTCTGTTGCTTTGCTCGACAGAGATGTGGTCTTCTGCCGTTGGTAACAGGTGGTTTCTACTGTTCGACAGCCCCACTGAGAATATGCCCTCCTACAGCGGCCTCTATTCCCCTGCCCATTAACCCCATGCCTTTTTGTTCTCATGATTTAACCCACAAGGTTGTGTATATATATACACACACCGTACTGTAATTATTGTTGCTTATTTCTGCCAGCAGCGGAATTTATATTTAGATAGAGCTTTTTCTTGTCATTTTTCCCATGGACCCACACTCTCACAGAATACGGTAATTATCTTTCGAACCTAACTTTTCCCAAAGGCATTTTCATACGTGCGTGCCTTCGTGGAAATGTCCGTCCAATCATGTGGAATAATCCAGTCGTGAGTTGGCAGAGATGTTGCTCGACCGCTGCTGAGTGAACAAGTGCCATCGCCTTAAAATTATTTGTATTTTCATATTCCCGTAATTTAGCAGTCATGCTTAGAATTACATGAGCTGAGGTAGCAAGATGTTAACTGCCTCGCCTGGTCTGCAGGAAGTCGTGGGTTCGATCCTGACCCTGACATCTGATGTATATTTGGAGTTTGCATGTCTCTCTCCCCGTGGTAGTTTAGATTTTTCTCCGGGTACTCCAGGTCCTCCGGTTTTTCCCTCCACATTTAGAATCGACGTGGGTTTAGTGTATTTGGCGACTATACATTTCCACAAGATAAGCCACTTCATTGAGCTATCATTTGTGGCCAGGTCGCTTCTGAAAAAGAGCTATATAGTTCAGTGGGCCTTACCTGGTAAAATAAAATAAAATAGTTTTGTTTATTTAGTTGAGAGTCGGAGCCATTGGGATGTCTTGGGGTTCCAGTCCGGGAATCCTCCAGTGATTTAGAATCAGACTCAGAGCTTTATTTCCGCTGGAGGAATATGATGAGCTATGAAGCTTTTTTTCACAGATGTCAAGTAGGGGCATGTCAGAAAGTTACATCAACAAGAAATACAACAAAGGATACTGGGGTAAGAGAGAGAAAAGTAAAGCAAGTCGCTGAAAAATAAATAAATCAATATGAATAAAGCAACAGAAGTGCAAATTGCATTACTACATGAATTACAAGTGCAAGCTTGGGCAAGGCAGCAAAACAACAACAATAACAAATAGCTTTAAATCAAAAAATAATAATAACAAATGCAGTTTTACTTGACGGTCAATCGAGTTATCAATGATTTTCACACACGTACAAACAAACACAAATCGTTTTGGAATTCGATTTTTCGCAGACTTTGTAACGCTACGAGAGTTTACAGGTCACTCACGCTGCTCCCGCGCAGTGGCCTCAGGTGGATGCGTGACGTGGAATCCGATGACAAAGAATAACAATAATCACATTTTGAACATGATTTTGAGGCTGTCTTCATATACAATGATTCTGCAGTCGTATGTCATGCACGTGTAGTGTAATAGCGCCGGCTGGTGGACAGCAGCGGCAACTGTGGTGGACAGACAGCGCACACGCCTGTGAGGGCGTGCGTGGTGTGTGTCGGCAGGGCGAAGGAACTGGGGCAAGGGTCACGGAGGACCCCGTCTGGAGGCCCCTGGAACCTGCTAGCGGGTTCGAGAAGGGAGGCGCGGCCACGGCGGGGCCAGGGTGCGCTGAGAGCATGAAAGGAGCCGAGAGCGGGGAGCTCAGGGCTGCCGGTTTTGGGAGTGGACTCGTCCCGTCATCGCTGTCGTCTCGTCGCCGTCGTCGCTAAGCGTCTCCGCTAGATATTGCGCTGCCAGATAGTTGTTGGCTGTCTCAGTCAGCACCGTCGGTGTTAGACGGCTAGTGTTGTGTACAGGCTAGGCTAAGCGGCTGTAGAGAGTGAGTAGACGAGACGGTCACTGTTATAATAAATAAGGTGCCTCCTACAAACCTCGTCTCCGAATCACTGACACTACACATGTGCTGCATATAGTTGATTTTTTTAAATTACTTATTTTAGTTTTGCACTGACCATAATCAAACGACTTTCTTCCTTCACTTGTCTACCTTTTGTTGTGTCCCTGCAAGGGCTCTCTTGCAAAAGGAGTTTCTTTTTCTCAGTGGGCTTACACGTGGTACAATCAAGGAGGCACGGACTCACTGCATCACCGATTCATTCTGAGTTTTAATGAGCGACTCAAGGAGCTAAAGAAGGCTGGTGGTTTTGAAACAAGTATATATGTGTCCGAGCCTGCATGTGTGAATGAGCGTGCTAGTACGTGTGTGTGTGTGGGGAGCGGTAGTGCAACGGTTAGCGTGCTGCGCTACGAACCCGGCGATCCGGGTTCGATTCCCGCTCGCGGCCAGCCTCAGTGGCGAATATCTGAACCGGTCCTGGACCTCCCCTAGGTCGACTGAGCCTTTAATGAGAACCTGGTGTGGTGTGTAAACAAAATTGGCTGGGTGTAGTGCTGGCCACCCACCCCTTCGTGTGCTTTGCTGGCCTTCATAGGTCCTCCCTAACAGCACTTGGCCCAACAGCCTGTTAAGGTTATACGGGAATCTTTGTCTTTGTTATGCATGCATAGGCACGCGTGTGTGCATGTGCCTCAAAGTGCACCTAGCCTGGATTAAATGCCGTGGTGATGTCACCGGCCACTTTGTGGCGAACTGCAGTTGTTGTTGTTGTACATGTACTGGTGTGTGTGGGTTTGCGCATACATGTGTGTTTGTGTGGGCCTGCATGTACATTGGTGTATGTGAGTGAGCGTGTGCCTGTCATGCTGTCCACCCACTCCCTCGTGTGCCATACCGACCTTCATAGGTGCTCGCTAACAACACTTGTCCCAACAGTCTGTTGAGGCTATATGGAGGATCTTTGTATTTGTGTTAATAGATGTGCTTGTGTGTGAGCCTACATGTATATGCCTTCATGTGAGTGAGCGTGTGCATCTGTGAATGAGCATGTGTGTCTGTGACCGTGGGGAGTGATGGTGTAGCAGTTAGTGCGCTGTGCTACGAACCTGGAGACCCAAGTTCTATTCCCGCTCATGGCCAACCCCAATGACAAATATCTGAACCGGTCCTGGTCTTCCCCTAGGTCGACTCAGCCTCAAATGAGTACCTGGTGCGATGTGTAAACATCGTCACGAGGGAGACAAAGGCGGCCGGGTGTGGTGCTGGCCATCCAACCCCCTTATGTGGCCATGCCAGCCTTCATAGGTGCTCGCTAACAGCACTTGCCCCAACAGTCTGTGAAGGCTACAAGGGAGATCTTTGTTTTTGTGTGTGAGTGATGCGGCTGGCGGTTGTCCTCTCAAGCCTAGGAGGTCCCAATCTGCCAAACCAGAAGTGTGACCTAACCCCCCTGTGCCACAAGCTAAGGGCACTTAACTCACAAAGAAAATATTCACTTTTAATTTTACCACATGTTTACAGACGTCCATAATAAACAAGTCGTAATGCTGTAAATATGTAAAACGCAGGCACGCGGTGTATCCATGTCTCTTGCAATGGTAATATGGCTACGCTGAACGGAAGTCTCTGGAGGGGTGGGGTGGCGGTGGCCGATGGTTGTGTCATGTGGAGGTGGATGAGGGTTATGGCTTTAATTTGGCATTGGGGGTATTAAAAGCCAAGCTCGTAAGGGCTTCTAATGTGTCGTGTGGTCTGAGCTCTGCTGGGAAACTGACCTTCCTGTGCGCTCCGCATGGCTGTACGGAGTGTTCCATAAATCTGACAGTGGCTAAACAACCGAACAAGCCAATAACTGTTTAAGGTTTATCTGCGCGTGCTGTGTATTTAATCGCTGTGCTCAATATCGCATTTTTGCCAATATTGTTGTTCATAGCCTTGCCGGCCTGATCTTGCCATAAGGCTTAAATAGAGGTGCTTTTCAGAGTCTGGTGAATGACCAAACATGGTAGTGATTGTAGCAGCACAGACCGTTGGCAAGTGAGCTGTAGGGTCTTCTGTGACTTTGATCAGCATTACAGGGATTACACTTCTCTGTTGGCCGAACCCGTGTGTTTATCCCCCCAGTATACCACGGATTATTTGTCCAGCCATTGTAGTTTTCTGGCACTCCCCATATGGAGTGTCATAATGATAGCCAGAACTAATGGGAAAGGAAAGGTGCATTAGAACATAATCTATGACCTGCATATACTATTACAGCTGTATGGATTGCATAACTAATATTATTATTAGTCCATGTTTTGTTGCTTAATAGTGTAGAGAAGGGATGTACGCAGTGAGCGTAGTTGAGAGGGTGCATTTGGGGACATCCCTTCTCTACAATAGTAATGATTGCGTAGTGTTAATTAGTATTTCCTTCTAGGTGTTAATGACGGAGTGGTGGTATAGTGGTTAGCGTAATACGCTACGAACCCAATGACCCGATTTTGATTCCCGGCCAAGGCTAACATGTGTAGAGAATGATTTATGAATCAGTTCTGAGCCTCCCCTTGGCTGACACGGCCTGAAATGAGCATCTGGTGTGGTGAGTAAACATCTGCATCGGGGAAACAAAAATGGCCAAGAATGGTGCTGGGCTTAATAGGGGTTTGCTAACAGCACTTGCTCCTGCCATCTGTATAAGGAGACGATTGTCTAATGTGCGCGCGTGTGTGTGTGTACGTTCTTAGTGCTGTGGGCCACAATCCTCAACAGAGGCTCTGTGCATGTGTGCGCGTGTGTTATGCGCCATTCTCTCCTGCCATCAGCGACCCTTTGACACTTTACTGGGCCTCGCAGTGCACCTAGCCTGGCGCAGACGCCGTGGTGACGTCACTACCACTTGGTGGCGAATTGCGGTCGTTGTTGTTACCACTGTTGTCGTCGTCGTTGTTGTGCATGTGGACGAGGCTCTCGCGAACAGCACCTACCCGCACAATCCACAATGCTGACCATCGGGGTGGTGGAGGGGGAGGGCGATCGTGGTCTTAGTGTTTGTCTCTCTGTTGCGTGGGACCCCACCGCAGGTGTTGGCGGCGGCGTCGTGGACCAGCCCCTGCTCGAGTGCACGCTGCAGAGTCTGGAGATCAAGAGCTGCACGACGCCCACGCTCTGGGCCGTGTCCGGCAGCCTTGGCTCTCTGCAAGCCTGGGCTCGTCTGCAAGGTGGGCATCCTCGGTGTTTGTCTCAGGCTCCGTTAGACCCCCCCCCCCCCCCCCCCGTGCGCTGGCCGGCGGGCTGTACAGCACAATTGACACAATTCCTCTTTCTGCCGGGAGCAATGTGAGCAGTGTAGTTAAACACATGCCACTCGGGGGTGGTGGTGGTGGTGATGGTGGTGGTGAAGAGTAGGGTTGCCACTTGTCCTGTTTTTTCCCCAGGATCGTTCTCTGTTTGAGGTAGCTGTCCTGAGAAACCCCGTGACTCCTCTGGGGAACATTGATGAAAGTCCCAGTTTTTTTTTAATAATCAGTTGCGTCTTAACACACCGTTCAAGACGATGCGTTTGTACGCAGTTCTTCCCTGTTCTGGCCCTCTTGAGATATTGTTTCCTATGATACGTCGTAGTTTTTTTTCTACATTAGAGATGGCAACCCAGGGTGAAGAAGGGGTGGGGGGTGGCGGCACCCTGTGTGATGAAGCACCACTGCACTCTGACCTGGGTTAGAGGGTCAAGCGACTTAAGGGGCATTGCATCGTCACAGTGCTTTGAATGTCACTCACCACTGGTGTCACCCGTGGTCGGGAATCAGAGTCGTGTCACTGACTTTTACACGGAGGCTTTTGTGGCCAATTATATTCATGATGAGGTTGTTTTGGGGGGGCTATACACCGACATTAGTCGATGTGTCGCACACCCACCTCACTGATTGGCTGTGTCGGGCGGAGGTGGCTCTACGACACGTTTACATTTACGCGATCTAACCCAAAGAAAAACTTTATCATGTCACTGAGTTCACAGCACAGTGTGCTACCCACCATGCCACTTCAAAAAAAGACAAAGATCCCCCGTATATAGCCTGAGCAGACTGTTGGGGGCAAGTGCTGTTAGCGAGTAGCACCTATGAAGGCCGGCACGGCACACGAGGGGGTGGGTGGCCAGCACCACGCCCGGCCGCCACTGCTCCAACCTATGCACACACAAACACACATTAGAGTTCTATTCGTATTCGCTTGCGTTGTAACTGATAGGCCAGTTAACTTATCCGAATAATGTTGTCCTCCTTATTTCACCGCGTGGCAGTTCGAATAAACAGAACACGTGCCATCTTTTGTCTTATTGTGCGCACAGAGGAATTTCGAGTTCTCTATCCTAACCTTGAATAGGAGCATTCCTGTAGGTTGGGGGGAGTTAGAGGTGTTGGTGGGGGGAGAGTGTTAAGGGGGGCATGCCCGTTGAGTGGGCCATAATATTTCCTGTCTCCTAATTTAACTCTTTGTTTAAATGGTGTGGTTTCAAGATGCACAAATCATGCGCAGCATCTTATTCACAGCGCTATTCAAGTTCCCATGCAGGGTCCACTTATTCTTGATTAATTAAGAATTCTCGTATATTAATACGTAATGTTATGGGTTGGTTTATACATATTTTACCATTGTATTATCAGCCCGGTGTCATTGCACTGCTGGATGAAGACCGCCTGCATTTGGCAAGGTCATTCTTCGCCATGCTGGTCATTGTGGTTGGTAAAAGCGGTGCCCAGGACAGTTTCAGATGTAACTTGTCACTGATGATTAGCCATCGCTGGGAATCGAAATCAGGTCGCTGGGTTCATAGCCACTGTTCTACACTATAAATTTGCACTACTCTTTATTTATTTTCCATCGCATTTATTTTTTTACTGACACACCGGCAAACAGCTTCCAGATCTTTACTGTACACACGCCTTCTCGTCTATTTTCACAGCACGCAATTTGAGTTTTCATATTGCCCTACAATTGAGATTGGAGCATTCTTGCACGTAGATCTTTTGCGCGAACTGCTGCCATCTGGCACGTTTATATTTCTGCACCGACGAAGTTGGTGACGATGGCAGCTTCCCGTCACCTGGGGCGTTTTGTAGCAGCAGCAGCAGCGTCGTCACCGCCGCCGTAGTCATAGCCTCTCTCCGCACGTGTGGAGAGCAGACTCTGCTTTCCCAGCATGTCTGCCTCTTGTGTGGCCCAAGATAGCCGGCCCCGCCGGCAGGCATACACTCGGCCACACTTACCGGCTGCAATATGTAATGTTTATGCTTTACTTTTGTTGCTGTGACAGTGTGCGCTCTGCCTTGCCCGCCAGTGTTTGTTTGATTTTGCCATTTCCTCGTGGTTATTTATTTGCTCCGGTGTAGCCCTTTGGCACTGTTAACCTTTCCGGAGTTTTTGTTGTTGTTAAGCACATCGCAATTTGCGTGTATCACATTCTACAGTGCGGTGAAGTTTCATGTTTTGCGTTTTTTTAGCAAATCGTGAGTAACCCTCTGGGGTGTAAGTCTAATTGTAACCCTCATATGAACTGCATGCATTATCTGTGTGTGCGTACAGTTAGCGTTGCTCCTATAGAGTATCTGGAAAGTATTTTTTTTTATTTTCAACAGCATTGGTATGTTACATGCAAACGCTCGACCGGTTTCGACGTTTGTTGTCACATCGGCAGTCGGGCTTCGTTAAACGAACGCTGGTGAGCTGCCAGACGTCTGTAGCAAAGGACCCTCCCCGTTAGATGAGAGACTTGGTTAGATGCACAACTATGCCAATATATTATAATGATAATTCAATGCCGTTGTTCTCCACAGCGCCCTTGTTCTGCACATTAACAACACAAGTGTCTTTACACATCCTGTCAGCCAACGCAGCCGTCAGGGAGTGAATTTTTGTCAACAGGGTCCATATGTATTGTAGTTTTTGCATCGAACGAAGCCTCACATCCAACATAGTCCTTGTCTATTGACATCCGGAAGTTCACAAAGCAATTGGTTTTCACAAAGGCTGACACTGCTGATGAGACTGTTGATGCCGACACCGGTCCAGGTTTTTCCCGGACCGCATTCCCAGAAGGCCGTTGTGCTGATGGGTTGTGTAAGAAACGCGTTTGTGATCTATGTGGCGAGAGAGAGATACACGAAGAGGACTTTTGTCTCCTCATCTGTTTTGTTTACCGGAGAACTGTTTGTCATTTCACTCCACAGAGGCTACAGATATTTAAAACTGGGAGCCCGGTCGGTACATACGTTTAGTTTCTAATTGGTTGATCTCTGTTTAAAAAAAAAAAATGTCCAGAAAAAATTCACGCTCGAACATGTGCCGAGCAGTTACCGACAGTACCGGCGGGCGCCACACCCACCCAGATTTGGTGGTGCCATTTATTTATAAAAGACACACCACGGTTCACCACAATTTCAAGACACACAATCTCCAATTTATTTTAACTATTAGCTCAATGACGCACAGTTTAGAGGAATAAGCACTGTGGAACTTCCGCAGGTTAACGTGAACCCCCCTTCTGCTCTGTTCTGGGGTCCTCATCAGCCGGCGTGTTCTTGCTGATGATGCTAATGAAAGCAGTGTGCCGGGCTGTTATGTTAAAAACAGAATTAGTCGAACATGTTAGAAGCGAGAAGCTGTGCACACTGTGCCAGAGCTGTTAAAATTGCATCCATATGTGTAACATTGGCTACATCTACAGTATAGGGTGCCACGGTGGCGAGATATTAACTGCCTCGCCTGGTATGCAGGAGCTCGTGGGTTCGACCCCATCCCTGATGCCTGTATATTTGGAGTTTGCATATTCTCCCTGTAGTCACGTGTATTTTTCTCCGGGTGCCTGGGTTTTTCCCTCCGCATTTAGAAACATGCCTTTCGAGTATTTGGCTGCTATTGATTTCTAATGATAAGCTACTTTGTTGAGCAAATTTTTTGTGGCCAGTTCGCTTGTGAAAAAGAGCTATATAGCTCAGTAGGCCTTACCTGGTAAAATAAAAATAGTTAAGTTGGTTAAGCTTCATATCATGAAGGAATGTGTGGAAGCATGTTCTAGTTTGTAGTGCTCTTGCTTGGTTAGATCATTTCAGCATGCAAACAAAAATGAAGGTAAAAGTGCAGCCCTGCAGTTGCTATCTCACGTCACCGCAAGTGGAAGGGCCCCTACTAGATGGTGCTCTAGAGAATGCTCTGGATACCCCCTCTAGAGGATATCTGACTGACTATGTAGTGGATTCAACTGGAGGCAACACATTTATTTGTACCAACACATTAACACAAAGGGGTAACTGCCCCTTTTCCAGATAACAGCCTACGGCGGTGGACCACCAGGCTAAACTACCCTAAACACACTGGGAATTAGCTACGACGGACCGGACCCTGGCTTGGGTCCAGGTCCACGTGTTGGTGACTCTTCTTGGACGTAGAACGTAGATCTTCAGATGACGGTAACAACGCTGAACGCCGGTCCTTGTGGGGACCCCGCTTATATGCTCCCGGGTCGTGGCTGGCCCCGCCCTTGACCACGACCACCTTCGAGAAACCTCTAGTCGTCTCTCGACCCTTCCCTTAGGATCTTTCCCCTGACACGTGACCACCCCCTAGCCCCCACCTGGGTGCCCCATTTAGACTTTACTGGTCACGTGTCCTTCGGGGTCAACCAGAGTGCCATGGCCCACAGTAACCTCGTTCCAGTGGCTTGCACTATCACATCCTACCCTGTAGGGGTCAGCAGTACACGCGGAGCATGGTGGCACTCAGCGCTGTCACTCAGCGCTCACCGAGCCCCCTACAGGGCTGGTACTACACCCACATGTACGTCGTGTCCGCGATGGCAAGACATCGCACGCCGTGCTTTACTAGAGCCGGCATTACCCAGTGACATCCACGATGTCGCTACACACGTGATGTCCGCAATGTGAGTACATCGCACGCCATGCCTCTCTAGGGCCGGCACCACTCAGTGATATCCGAGATGTCACTACATCACCCCCCCCCCCCCCCCCTTCGTAGCATCCAGCCGTCCCGGCTGTCAACTCCCCCTTAAACGAACCGAGTCAGTTCGGTGATGAAAGTGAGTAAACAGTGATTAATGCTTTGTGTGCCTCAACAATAACAAACACCCATTAAATACCCAAGCCCATATATACAATATATACATGATGTGCAAATGTACATAACCAACGGGGAAAAAGGGCGTAAG